GAAGATAAAAGCATGGACAAGTTTTTCCAAATCCTGCTGTGACATTAGTCTTTTAATCCTAGATATATTCTTTAGGTGATAGTAGGCTGATTTAGTAACTGTTTTAATGTGACTGTTGAAACTCAGGGCGTTAGGGCTACTTGGGGGCTGCCTCATTAGCCGCGTTCACACCGCAGGACTTGCGTTACTTTAGTGCCGGCACTAAAGTACCACGGCACTGAATCCGCCAGGGGGCTAGTGCCATAGCCGCATTCACACCGCAGGACTTTCCCTGAGGCAAGATTACGCTGACGTCACTTCGTCTTCTTCTTCTCTGGGTTTACTGGCAGGCCGCAAAACCACTTCACGGCGAGTAAAAAAAAAAAACGACAGAAGAAGAACTACACGGGGGAGGGGGTATAAAGCCCACCCGCTGTATGAGGCGTTTGTTTACTTTCCGACCTCAGACATGATGGAGTTCATAAGGGTAATTTACAAATAAAATACCCCATTATAACAATGGACTTTATCTTTATGTATTTATTATATATTACCCCCTCAGGCTGATTTTGGAAAAGGACATTAACCCTTGTTTGGTGTTTATCCCTTATTTATCTAAAACAAATGACATGATAAATGACTTGTGTTTATGTGTGTAAGACTTGTGTTTCTGCCCGTGCCATTGCTGCACAAGGTTGCAACATTGTAGATACATTCAACCACCGACACCTGTCTGCTCTCACATTCTTCTATTCTGCACATTTGGGGTGGGACACAATAAATAAAGCTTCGCCAGTTTGTTTGTTTCATTGCACATAACAATAACGGCATCACGCTGTTCCAGGTGTGTAAATTGACGTAAATTGAAGTTAAATAAAAGTGTGAAATGTAAAATAAAGTGTAGTTTCAAAACAATGTAACAGTGGCAATATATATAGCAGCAGACACACCTTAGTGCAAGTTAGGTGTCAGTATTACAAAACAGTGGCAATATATATATATATATAATAACAATAGAAAATCGTTACCACTCTTATTATTGTGGTCTTTAATTTTTTTATAGTCCTGCCTGAGTTTCTTTATTTTTACCCGGCATCCGTGTGCACTGTGCACGATTCCCAGCTCAAGTAGCTTTTGCGAACATCGCTCAAAACATTTAGAGTTGGGAACTGCTTTCTGTAGAAGCTGCTGCATCCCGTCCTCGGAGTAAATTGCCAGAAGCGCCGACACTTCCTCATCATTCCACCGCTCCGGTGTTGTACGTGTAGTCATGCTTTAAAGTACAAAAAACCTACTCGCTCAGGTGTGGATGTGGTTTTGTAGCGAGGAAAAAAATGGCTGCCTAACAAAACAAATTCAGAGTCTAACGGGGCGTGGTTTGCAATTCGCCCAGCCAATAGAAATAGAATAGAAATTGGCACTCTTTTATCACCAGGTTCGTACCACCTCTCTAGCAGGGACTGAAAATGGCCAAAAGAGTTCCAAAAGAGTTCCCGGCACTGAGTAGTCCCGGCGGTGTGAACGCGACATTATTGGTACTAACGGAACTAAAGAACCAAAGTACTAGGGAAAGTCCTGCGGTGTGAATGCGCCTTTTGATCCCAGAACATGACCCTGCCCATCTCGGCCCAGGAACCCTTAGCTGTGAATTATCCTGAGGCTGACACATGGAGCACCCCCCCACCCCCCGCTGTGTAGAGGGAGCCAGTGGAAGTAGTCTCAAGCGGCGCACTTCCCATAACAGGGAATCAAATGTGTATGCAGGTCATGAAATGAAGCTGGTTCCTGATCTTTTGTGAGTTACTACAGGAAGCAGGGTGATATTGGGCAGTCAGGGATTCTCAAACCACACCCTGCCCCAAGGTTTAAGAATCAGAATGCCTTTATTAGTCCAAGCTAGTACAGCAAAAGTGGCATAGCAAGTCAAAAAGGCATGCAATAATAAAGAAAAACACACGTTGGTAATACAATTAATATAAAGACAACTAGGTACACAACCATGCCAAAGAAATGAGTGTCAGTAATTTAAGTAAAAGTGACATAAATAGCATATTAAAGTATTTCAACCTTAAAAAGTGTTGGGACATTTATAAAAACATGTATTTTTTACATAAAGGTGAATATAGCATTTCACTGAACAACCCTTCTCACTCATCTGCTTTTGGCCTTTTTTGATTGAACACTTTACTTCTGTCTGTTTATCCTGATTCCCCTGCTGCGTTTCCCCCTTTAAGAATCAATTCATCTCACAGCCGATAAGACAATTGATCTCTTTTGAGCTAATCAAGCGTTTTCAACTATAATTGCTTCCGGTGGATCCATTGAACCAGAGTTATGTTCCGTTTGATCTCAACACAACATACCTGTCGTTTCTTACTGTTCATTTTGTATAGTTTGGGAGGGTCTTCCACCTCTCTGACTTTCTCTTTCTCTGGTTTCTCTGAATGCTAATTGAGACGGAGAATGAAAGAGCAGCCGGAGATCAGGTGGGAAGATGAGAAATCAATTAGGACTGGTGGAGGGCATCATTATGCATCCTCCCCCTCTGTGGATGAAGGCCTGTCACTTTCAACACAATCAATCAAAGGTGTGTGTGTGTGTGTGTGTGTGTGTGTGTGTGTGTGTGTGTGTGTGTGTGTGTGTGTGTGTGTGTGTGTGTGTGTGTGTGTGTGTGTGTGTGTGTGTGTGTGTGTGTGTGTGTGTGTGTGTGTGTGTGTGTGTGTGTGTGTGACCGACCTCCCCTCCTGCCCTCTATCAATAGCCGCTTTCACACCGCAGGACTTGCCGTACTTTAGTGCCGGCACTACGGTACCACGGCACTGAATCCGCCAGGGGGCTAGTGCCAATCGCATTCACACCGCAGTACTTTCCCTGAGGCAAAATTACGTTGACTTCACTTCGTCTTCTTCTTCTCTGGGTTTACTGGCAGGCCGCAAAACCACTTCACGGCGAGTAAAAAAAAAAAACGACAGAAGAAGAACTACACGGGGGAGGGGGTATAAAGCCCACCCGCTGTATGAGGCGTTTGTTTACTTTCCGACCTCAGACATGATGGAGTTCATAAGGGTAATTTACAAATAAAATACCCCATTATAACAATGGACTTTATCTTTATGTATTTATTATATATTACCCCCTCAGGCTGATTTTGGAAAAGGACATTAACCCTTGTTTGGTGTTTATCCCTTATTTATCTAAAACAAATGACATGATAAATGACTTGTGTTTATGTGTGTAAGACTTGTGTTTCTGCCCGTGCCATTGCTGCACAAGGTTGCAACATTGTAGATACATTAAACCACCGACACCTGTCTGCTCTCACATTCTTCTATTCTGCACATTTGGGGTGGGACACAATAAATAAAGCTTCGCCAGTTTGTTTGTTTTATTGCACATAACAATAACGGCATCACGCTGTTCCAGGTGTGTCGTATGCATGTACATTGAAGTTAAATAAAAGTGTGAAATGTCAAATAAAGTAAGTAGTTTCAAAACAATGTAACAGTGGCAATATATATAGCAGCAGACACACCTTAGTGCAAGTTAGGTGTCAGTATTACAAAACAGTGGCAATATATGTATTAACAATAGAAAATCGTTACCACTCTTATTATTGTGGTCTTTAATTTTGTTATAGTCCTGCCTGAGTTTCTTTATTTTTACCCGGCATCCGTGTGCACTGTGCACGGTTCCCAGCTCAAGTAGCTTTTGCGAACATCGCTCAAAACATTTGGAGTTGGGAACTGCTTTCTGTAGAAGCTGCTGCATCCCGTCCTCAGAGTAAATTGCCAGAAGCGCCGACACTTCCTCATCATTCCACCGCTCCGGTGTTGTAGTACGTGTGGTCATAACTGCTTTAAAGTACAAAAAACCTACTCGCTCAGGTGTGGATGTGGTTTTGTAGCGAGGAAAAAAATGGCTGCCTAACAAAACAAAATCAGAGTCTAATGGGGCGTGGTTTGCAATTCGCCCAGCCAATAGAAATAGAATATAAATTGGCACTCTTTTATCACCAGGTTCGTACCACCTCTCTAGCAGGGACTGGAAATGGCCAAAAGAGTTCCCGGCACTGAGTAGTCCCGGCGGTGTGAACGCAACATTATTGGTACTAATGGAACTAAAGAACCAAAGTACCAGGGAAAGTCCTGCGGTGTGAATGCGGCTTATGCTTAAATACATCTGATTGGTTGCTGCCTGGGATCATAAAGGTGACCCTCACCATTAGCGTCTTCAGTGGGTACCATCATTCAGAGCCTAGCAGAGTGAGGTCATAGATGATCTGGGTTGTAGCCCCAGCCTCCAGAGACAGCCTTTTTACGCCAAATAGTTTTTGTTTCTTCAGAGCTCCAGATTGGACACGCTGAGTGTTGTTTGTTGACTTATTATGTTAAAAACATATCCATAATGTAACAATTTCCAAATGCAACTGGGTTTCTCTTACCAGTTGTGTCCCCTCGTCAGTGCTCCGTCTGTCTCTTGTTATCTTGTGCAGTTAGCAGCTCATCTTCACACGTGTCTTTAACTTGCTATATGTTTTCAAATATTTTAAACTAGTTCGGAGAGATAGAACATTTTTTGAAACTTAGAGCATTACAGTAAATGTTTCAGAAATGACATTCAGCCCTGCAAGGGTCCCATACTTCCTGAACCGCGTGTGACCTCTGTTTTGCACCTCGAGGAACTTCTTGTTGTCCCTGGTTTCTCTGATCTCAGAGTCTCTCCCACTCATAAGTGGGAACAACACCGCTCCAACGGTACTCATTTTATAGTAAAAGAGAAACTTAAAATGTAGTTAGTGCTTTATTGCAGTATATTTGTTTCTGTTCGGAGGAATATACCTGTTTGTATCCGTGTTGATTATCTTTCACTATCAAGCTACATTTTTTTAAACAAACCGTTCACAGCCATAACACACTTTATGCAACTGTGTGATGGACAGTGTTTCAATAATAATGCTGTATCCTCATTTATTAAGTTGACTATGCCCTAATAGTAATCTCTGTCTGTTCTCTGTGTTGCAGTGCCCCCTCAGATTGTGGTTCGGCCCCGGGACCAGATCACAGCTCCAGGTCGCACCGTAACCTTCCTCTGCGGCACCAAAGGAAACCCTCCGCCAGCCGTGTTCTGGCAGAAAGAAGGCAGCCAGGTGAGACCCCTCCTCATCACAGAACTCACGACACAAACAGTCCACAACACAGGAATATACTAGGTCTATATTATATGTTTTACTTTAATGGATTAGATTCAGGTTTTCCATTTGTGTTTTCACAGTGTAGTAAATAATAACCCTTGTGGGGTTTTTAACCTAACTTCACCAACGTGATCAAGAGACGACAGTCACCCCTCGTATGAAGCTTCAGAAAACACATTATTATAAACAGTCCAGCCTTACATCTGGTGTCACACACATCCAACGTTAGACACAAGCCTACTCTTTTAGATGTATCTCTGGTTGCAAATATATCCAAGTAACCACCTCCCGGTTCTGATGTGAAGTATATCAAGTTTGCATCGGACAACAACACATTTCAGAACCAGTTCAGATCGATTTTAAAAGCTAAATGTTCAATTCAGGCGAGGTGCTCCCTTTGCACTGCAATGTGAAGTAATGACAAATGAATGAACAATTATCATATACACAATATTTCTATCATGATAATATTTGAATTGAGACACTTTTTGTTCAGCTTCTGGAGTGCAGTTCAATGTCATCACTGACAAAGAATTCATAACAATGTTCATAAATAGAAACTGCATTGTTCTTCAAAACTCTGATTCCTGATAGTATGGCAAATGTATATGACTTCTAAAAGACTTTATATTCATCAAAAGTCAAAAAGTATTAAGTTATTTCATAAGATTTGTGAAGGTATTTCCAATCAGATAAGCCTGAATGAGATCATTGTGAAACTAACACAGAACAATGATATTAATACACATTAATAAAAACAGTAGCCACTAGTTTAGTCTAGTTTTCAGCACATCCCGCTCTTTGCAGAGGACTGCATCTCTCTCACTTTTATATTCTTCTCTATGATCCTTTTTTATATCAGTGTCAGGGTGACTCACACACACAACCACACACTCACACACACCTCATTTTCCCATCATCCACACAGGGTATTACTCACCAAACAGAGGGACTGTGTGTGTGTGTGTGTGTGTGTGTGTGTGTGTGTGTGTGTGTGTGTGTGTGTGTGTGTGTGTGTGTGTGTGTGGTGTGTGTGTGTGTGTGTGTGTGTGTGTGTGGTG